CTGATGCTGCCAATTGGCCAAGTGGTGAGAATCTTTGTCTTCTTGACATTGAGCCTCAATCCATATTGGAGGCTGCAGTCCTTGACCCTCTGCTGCAAGCGCTTCAGATCCTCCTCAGTTTCAGCAAGCAGGGTTGTGTCATCTGCATAACAGATTGTTGATGAATCTTCCACCAATCCTGACACCACACTTCTCCTTATTAGAGCCCAGCCTCCTGGATAATCTGTTTTGCATCAGGTTGAAAAGATATGGAGATAGGACACATCCCTGGCATACACCTTCCCAATTTTGAACCACGCAGTGTTTCCTTGCTCTGTTCTGACGACTGCCTCCTGGTCCAAGTATAGGTTTTGCATTAGCACGATCAAGTGTTCTGGGATTCCCATTCTTCTCAGAGTCAGCCACAGTTTGTTATGATCCACACAATCAAACGCCTTTGCATAGTCAGTGAAACACAGATAGACATTCCTCTGGTATTCTCTGCTTTCAGCTAAGAGCCATCTAACATCAGTTACAATATCTCCAGTACCACGACCCCTTCTAAACCCAGCCTGGACTTCTGGCAGTTCTCTGCTGATGTGCTGTTCCAGTCGTTTTTGGATAATCTTCAGTAGAATCTTGCTTGCATGTGAAATCAATCATATTGTTCTATAGTTTCCACACTTTGGTGGGTCACCCTTCTTTGGAATGGAACAAATATAGATTTCTTCCAGTCAGTTGGCCAAGTGGTTGTTCTCCATATTTCTTGGCACAACTTGGCTAGCACATCCAGGGCATCATTTTGTTTTATATTATTTTTATTTTGTTTTTTGTTATTATTTTATTGCTATTTTAACAAAAGTTTACAGAAAACCTGGATTTCTATTCATTCATCGTTGCACGTTTTCCTCCCTTCCTCCCCCCATTAATTCGCATTTCTCTGTAAGAAGATTCTTTGAATCTCTCCACTTTGCTGTGCACCCCTTATTCTGGATTATTGTCATGCAGATAATATCTAATCATATATTTCTTTTAGACAGTTCTTTCCTTCATCTATTTCAATGCAGTGTTCATTATTTATACCCTCTTTTCTTAGTCTCCCCCCAACACCTATATCAGTCCTACTTTATAACAGTGTCATTAGTTAGTATTTGTCCTTTTGTTACTGAGATACTTCAATAGGCATAATGTCCTCCAACGTCCCCCATTTTGTATAATATTTTATGAGTTCCTCTGTTGGGGTTATTGTGGGTCATATTTAGTTCCCTCTGTGTTTCCATCTGTGGTTGTTGAAGACTTTCACTGTCACCGGAAATCAGAGACAAGGAGGTTCTGGGGCTTCCCTGATGTTTGGTTGCTTAAGTAACAGAGTGAATGTTAAAATCTAGAAAGTCCGTCTACAGCCTGTGATTTGATGGGGCTTTCCTTGGGAATGGCAGCTGGTGTTGCTATGACTTGAAATCAACTTGAAGACAGAGTGCCTTTTTGTTTTGTGCCATTTTTTGGTAGCTTAGGCAAGTTCCTCATTTATAAAAGGGGATTAATAATATCAATAGCAGAATGGTTATGAAGGTGAGAAAGCATGTCTTTGAAATTCAGCCTTCCACTTTAGAAGGGCTGCTTTCATTGTTAAATCACAAAGATGAAACAAAGGGATTTGTTAAGTGATGATATAGCCCAGATGCCAAGCCCAGGGACAGTTGAGGTGAGTTTTAGTGTATTTCTGGAAAATGCAGTTAATGGTACATATTAGGTCAAAATTACTGCTATTTGGGGATGGCAATTTAAGGTCCGTAATTGTTGACCATTTGTCTGAAACTGTTGTTCCTGAATATTTAGCCTTGTAGATTCAGTGCCATAATAATAGTAAGCTTTTGTTCTCATTGGATTGCTCCCATTGAAAGGTGAATTAAAAACTGATTTAAATATTAGCTGCTGATCTATATTTAGTCCCTTCTGTCTGCCAGCCCCTTTGGAATTCAAGACATAAGGATTACACATTTCAGGAAGTAGAGACATCATTAATTATAAAGTGTTCCTTTATATGATCGTAATTGCATATGATTATGTCACTGAAATGCTAAAGGTGCTTTCCTTTAATGTAGCAATTAATTAATCCTGACTTAATGCGAAGTTCTAGGAAGATGTAAAAGTGCTTCTTGCAAATTGCACCGTCTGAAAGCCTCGTCGCAGATGGTTTATTGTTTGGCATTTTCCCCCAGGTTCCAAGTTGCACAAGGGGAATTGGGGCTTCGGAAGGAAAACAGTCTTGCTTATTGGCAGATTGCCAAAAGTGAGGCTTTGAGATAGGGAAAAAAAATCATCATTTTAAATCACATTTGCAAAGAAGTCTAGACCACTTTTGTGTCTGTGACCCAACGTACCTCTTCGTGTGGCCTGGGCACCCGGGCTAATGACTGTGTCCGTGAAGGGTGGATGGAAATTATGGGCTACAAATGACCCCTCCAAAAGCTAACAAGAACAGTGCTGTTTAAACCACACCGAGTCTCCCCCAAGTGGATTTTAAAAACCTCTAAAGAGAGCAGGTTCCTAGAAATTTCGTCAACATGTATGTGTTGCACACACTCTGTGCTGAGAATTTGTACCCTGGAGAAAGATGGAGAGACTTTTCCTGTGTGATTTACAGCCTCAGAAGCCCAGTGGAGGATTAGCTAGAAGTCAGGTCTGACTCCATGGCAATGAGTTTGTTCATGATGCTAAGAGTTGGAGCCGACTCTACAGCATCTAACGACATCTCCTTCAAACCTGATAGCAACCCCAGGAAGCATGCTGTCTTCAGCCTTGTCCTACTTTGACTTAAAAAAAACACCCCAGTGCTTTCAGCATGTAAATGGTAAAGACAAGCTGTACAAAGCAAGCTACACTCTCTTCTGAGCTGCCCATTGAATGTTTTGAGATAAGATGGACCATCAAGCAAAGGCCACTGCAGCTTGGGGGATCGTCACTCATTGCCCAAGGTGTAGCATGAAGATTTGTGTTCAGCTGCAAATCAACGGTTTGAACCCACCTAGACGCAGCACAGAAGAAAATCCTGGTGAACTACTTACATAAAGATTGGAGCATAGAAAACTCTATGGGTCAGTTTTACAGTGTAAGGCACAGCATTACCATGAGTTAGAACTGCAGGACTGAAAAAAATCTCAGCATATGGTGTCCATCAGGCTCAGTCCAAGATCTGAGGTCCGTGGAGTAGAAGTGACCTGTTTGTCCTAGCTGTCTTTTCTTTGTCCTCTCTGAACTGAGCGTAGGCCCTGCCACAGGACCTTTGAGTAGTGTTAGGCTAAAGCTAACACTCACATTATCTTGGTGATGCCAGCGAGGTGCTTCTACCACCTTCCCTGGTGAGTGTAACTTCTTGTGTCTCAGAATGTCATCAAGATAAGGCCTCCCCTGAGTTCCTTCTTCAACATGTGTATGCATGCATGCACACCCAACAGTTTGAATCTTTTTTTATGAAGTTTTCTCAAATGATAGGTCAGTAAAGAAAAAAAAAATCCAAACAAGCTCACATGCAGCCAGTTGTGACTCCTGATAACCTCATGTATTATCTTGTTGAGGTGTTTCATAGGGTTTTCTTGACTAATCTTAACAAAAGCAGATCACCAGGCCTTTCTCCCATGGTGCTCTTGGTTGTATTTGAACTGCCATACAGGATACAAACTGTTTGTGCCACCCAGGGAGCCTTATTGGTTTTGTTGATATTTGCTGTCAAGTGGATTCTGACTCATGGAGATCCCTTTTGGGCAGAGCAGAACTGCTCCACAGGCTTTTCAAGGCTGACCTTTTGGAAATGGATCACAGACCTGTCACTGAGATATCTCTGGGTGGTTTAGAACCACCAGCCTTCCAGCTTGTAGACAAGGGCTTAGCTATTTGTGCTCCCAAGGACTCCAGATGAATAATTAAATGTGTATTTACAATGATAACAAAAGAAAAGGAAGCTGAGAGAGGGCAGGAGGGGTGAAGAGTTGCACTGGGAAGAAG